TGATTATGCTTTCCGGGCAGTGCTTGATAAGACTGGTTAACTTCATGCTTTGCAAGGGATAGGCATAGAGGCGCGAGCCTGCATGTGGGGCGAAAATGGCAGTACGGTGATCACGGGCTGGCAGTAGAAGACAGTAGAAGTAAACCCTTATGAGATTATGACTCAGCTATGATGTCACACTATCCCTATCAAATCCGTTCACCCCAACGCAACGTGAACCTGAACACGCAGTCCTCAGAAGCTGACACAGGAACATCTCCTCGATCGGGTCCGACAGCGTCCGCTTCTGAGCCGCAAGCGGCGCACGCTGATCTCAAAGCGGCGCGTGAGAGGGAAGAGATCGATGCAAAAGGCTCTCAGCTTCTAGCCCAACCCCGTGACCCTATGATGTTCCATCAAGTCTTGGTTTCGAGGTTCGGGTTTTTAGGCATTTACCTGGCTTGTGGTTGCGGCCACAGAGCTTATACTAGTCTCTGACTTTCAAAGCCTGTGTGCCGCGGCAAGTGGGTCTGGAGGAGTTTCAGAAAGCATGAGATCTGAACCTTTGTACTCTAAACTCAAAGATAGTTTAAACCCTGGACCCTTCATAGCCCAAACCCCAAGCCGTAAATAACACGTGTTGTGCTCCAAAAACTATGCAGAAAAGGAGACTCCCCATGTGAAAGATGCAGGTATTCGGATCCCGTGGCCCGAAGCTCTTAATCATATACTCTTCCCAACGCTTCAACCGTCCCTGTAGCAAAGCCATAATGCAGGGTTTAGCGTGCAGGGTCTACGGTTTCGGGCCCCATGCCAAGTGCATATAGTCATCATATAATCACCAAAAATACTGACATACTAACAAACTATTACCTCAACCCAAGTACCTAGTTATTGGGTCCTCTATAACCCTTAAAACCGCAAAGAACATGGAGTTTGAATACCCTTATTTACTTCACCTTTAGACGACTCCTGAGTACTGGGTCCTTAGGCCCTAAATCCCGAAGCCAATTGTCATTCCTTTACTCCCTCTAAACCATAAACCCATGTAAACCCACTCTAAGGGTCCTCGAACCTTTAGGGACATGTCAGGTGGTTCCTCAGCCAGACCTGCAAAAAGATCGCTCCTTGTCGGCGTTTTGAGGCAAGCGTAGGCTTCGCGACTTGAATGGGGGGTTTAGCGAAGGCTTAGGGTTTTCTGATGTGGGGAAGTAGAAACAGCAAGCACCTCAAAAAGGCGAACGATACCAATGCTCGCATCAACAGTGGGTGCGGAATTAACTCGAAATACTGAGAATGGCGAGGACTGGAAAACATAGACGCATATATGAGATGCGCCTTGGGAATATGTGTACTATTTATATATTTCTATGTCTATGGCCTATGTATATGTATGTAGGTGTGTAGATACATATATATATATATATATATACAAGATATATGTATATGTATGTATTTGTATGTGCATATACATACGTGTATGTGTGTATATATATATATATATATATATGCGTATGTATGTATGCTTTGGAAGCCAACCATGCCGGCTAACACAGCTGTACGGCGCGGTCTTGTTTCTTGCTTTGGTAGCTTCGGGGTTGAAGTTGCAGGGCTCCGCAGTCTCGAGCCAACATGGGAGCAAGCATGGGTGAGAACAAGCACACGGTTTAGGGTTTAGGGTAAGATGCAATCCGTCACTAGCATTACATTCGCAACCATGTTGTGAAGGGCAGTGCTCGAGCGAGCAACAGCAATCGTTCCTCCAGAGCAAGAAATGCGAGGCAATCCTGGTACTGTCCGTTGAAGCATGGACCCACAAATTCCAGACACTGACCATGAGCATTTTGCTCCCATTGCTTATGTTCTTACTTTGGCGTCTTGGTATCGTACGGTTGGTTGCATACATCCATACATACACACATACCAAGTTACATTGGTACATACATACGTATGTGCTTACGTGCATACATATATATAAGAACATGGAATACTTAAGTACACAAAACACCGCGCACACACACAGAGACACACAGACACACGCGCACACAACACACACAACACACACAACACACACACACACACACCGATGCGCTCGCATCGGTGTGTGTGTGTGTGTGTGTCTGTTACATCTGTATGTACATGTAGCATAGATAGGTAGTTGGATAGATGGTCTGAGAGCGCGGCAGAGACGGAGGAAAAAGAGAGCGAGCAAAAGTGAGAGAGAGAGAGAGAGAGAAAAAAAAAAAGATAGACAGAGAGAAGGAGGGAGAGAGGGGGGAACACAGAGAGAGAGAGAGAGAGAGAGAGAGCGAGCGAGCGAGCGAGCGAGAGAGAGAGAGAGAGAGAGAGAGAGAGAGAGAGAGAGAGAGAGAGAGAGAGAGAGAGAGAGAGAGAGGGAGGGAGGGAGGGAGGGAGGGAGGGAGGGAGAGGGAGGGAGAGCGAGGTAGCCAGGGAGGGGCAGCAAGGCCCAATGCAACCTCAAGCCATTAAGTCTGCCCTGCTTGATCATGGAAGTGAGGTCGAGATCCAAGATGGCCTCTCAGATGCACGGAGGATTTATGGTGCCGGTTTTAATTATATAGGGCGCAGGGATGATGACATTTTTGGGGTTCAGGGTTTAGGTTTACGGTTTGCTTGTGTCTGGCATTTAGATCTTCCCTTCTGGACAAAGCGTCAAGGAGCTTTCAATTGAGTGTCTTTTCCCGTGGGCCATCTTGAGTTTAGGGTTTAGGGGTGGTAGGTTTACACAAAACCCGAGAAACTGTGGGGACTTCGGTGTCTCCAGAGTTTCGGGTCTTTGGTGGTGTCTCACAGTGAGGTTTAGATTTGGGTTCGGGCTTTGCTGATCATCTTGAAGAGTAGTTGTTGGGGTGGTGCTCCACAAGTGTTTCGGGTAGAGGGCTTGGGGCCCATTCTCGGGTGATTGCATTCACAACCAAGCTAGATGGAGACTTCAACTTTTAAAGCTAAACCAGCTAAACTCAATCCCTGAAACCTAAAGCCCTGAGCCTGACAGCACAACGAAGGCGACGTGAAGACCTACGACGTCTTTCCTGCCTGACTTGCTATTGGAGCAACGCCTTGGAGATTGGGTGATTGCCTCCAGGGCTTGCAGTCCATGCATGGTCTGTGTGTTGGGGAGCTCTGGCACTTGCAACCTTGGAACACGCAAAGCGGGGCCTTGCACTGGCCGCCAATACATCGCAGGGTGAATCTGACCTCATGTGCCCCTGTATATGCGTTGTGCCAGGGTGACTTCCGCTACTACATGGACATGAACCAAGATGTCAGGAAGAAAATTGAATCGCCGCTGGCTCAGTCTCCCGCGCAGCCTTCGCTTGCAGAAGAGCGCCTGCTTCAGAGTCATATGATTGATTTTTCTAGATTTTTACTGATTTGTTTGACGTGCATGTTAGGCCCATAGTAGTTCCTTTTTGGGGCTCATACTTAGAGTTCTACAAGGTAATCCCAAAAAGGAACTACTATAGGGCATATGGGTATGTACTCACGGTTCATGTTTGGACCTGGGTTTCGATTCTGAGGATTGCAGTCGTTTCTTTCAGGTTTCGAGAGTCTGGGAGGCAGTGTAGGTGCTCTGGGGGGGAGGGAGGGGGTTGAACTCAGGGTTTAGGGGTTGAGGGTGTAGGGTGCAGGATCTCCGGACTAGCAAGCGAGGTGGTTATTATAGAAATACTATGTACAAGTTTAGTTACTTAAACAGGGTTTAGGTTTCAGGGGAATCTGAGTTTGGGGTTGAGCGCTTCAGTTTGGAGTTCAGGGATTAATGAGGCTGTATGGGCAGCCACTGCCCTATGAAATACTCTGCAAGGGTCCATCGTCACAGAGACGACACCAGTGACGAAGGCCTGCAAAGAGGCGATATCGCCAACCCCCTACAAACCCCGTGCTACAGTACTTGGCATACATGCTCCGACACTGCCGACACTCCACACGACGACACATCCCTAGCCAAAAAACGGAACTCCGTGGCTTTGTGCGCTCTTTGTGCCGCTCCGGCGGGCTCCACATCGGCTGTTTTTTGGATCCTCGTCATCTTATGCCCAGACCGGAGTGAGGTTGAACTGCTGCAAGCTGTAGACCCCAAGCTCTGAGGCACTACACCGGCATTGACGGACTTATCGAGTCTGTGCCGGGCACCCTGGCGGAGAAGAAGAAGAAGGACCGGCAGATGAAGCAAAACATACGGCAGCCAGAAATACCCAGTGATTGTTCAAAAACAGCCCACGCTTCACAATAGCCCCGAAGTCATATTTACATGCTGCAACCCCGACCAGCTGAAAGAACAAACAAACAAGAGCCTGTGGAGGCTCATGGCTTTTCGCTCCCTATGCAAAGTCTTTTTCCACTAGTTGTTCAGACACTCTACTGCTGGTTTTGGCTACGGCGACTGCTTCAGCTTTTGCAATTGCTGTTGAGGCTCCTACATACTACTACTACTACTACTACTACTACTACTACTACTACTACTACTACTACTACTACTACTACTACTACTACTACTACTTCTACTACTACTACTACTACTACTACTACTACTACTACTACTACTACTACTACTACTTCTACTACTACTACTACTACTACTACTCCTACTCCTACTCCTACTCCTACTCCTACTCCTACTACTACTGCTGCCTCTGCCGCTGCTACTACTGGTACTCCTACTCCTACTGCTACTGCTACTGCGCTATTATTATTATTACTATTACTATTAATATGGCTACTACGACGACGACAATTGCTATGGATCTTATGAAGGTCGACTACTTCGACGACCACGGCTGACGATGCTGTTCTTCTACCTACACCAGTATACAACAGCATGTCTGGATGCTTCCGACAGGAGCGAAAAGGTCTGCGGAAGAACCAGTCAGCAAAGTGGAAGCAGGCCGGTCGGATCAGAGCTGGGATTCAGGGTTTGCAGGCGGCGTTTGCAGTTTTATCGATATGTTTCTGTTGCGCTTCGGCTTTAAGATTCGTAGGTGTTTCGGGCTTATGATTTACCACATCCTTGGGTCAGGGCCGAATTTGAGGACCAAGGGCTTCGAATCGAAGACTTTTTGAACAAAACGGTAAGGGTTTAGGGTTTGCTATCCTACACCGAGCACCAGAACCAGCTGAACCTCATGGGAGAACCCTAAAACAGCTGAACTGTATGGGGCAGAACAAGACACCAGTTGATGCATATATCCGCATCTTAGCATAAGTCATACCCCGTCAAGTATATAATTGCCCCAAACCCTATTCTTCCTATTAGGGTCCCTGCATATATATATATATATATATGTATATTCATTTACATTTATTTATATTTGTGTAGCCGGGCGCGGGATTCAAGACGTACCCTGGTTTTAGTCAAAAGCACAGGTTTCTGGTGTTTTCAAGGCGATTTTTGTTTACGGGAATCGGGGGTTTGACAATAAGATCAGGTGGTTAAGCTGAAACATGTAGGCCCCCGCGCCCGGCATGGGTGTGGTTTTGGTAAGCCTTAAGTGCCATGTCATTGGTCAGTTGTTTGGGTTTCAAGGGTTGGAGTTTGAGAAAGGTGCCAAGCACCCAGGGGCGTCTAAAATATTCGGCGGTATTTAAGAGCCGGAGTTTAGGTATTTCGGTCGGATTGCAATAAAGAAGCAATGTAGACACTCACAGCGAAACAACAGCCGTCTTGCATCCCGCGCCCGCCTTTGTATGATATTTATATGCATATATGCATATATATATATATAGACATACATATATACATATATATATATATACACACGTATGTACCATACAAAAGTATCATACATGTGTATGTAAATGTGTATATATATACACACATACATTTATGTATGCATTTTGTTAATTTACGACTGAGGAGCGGCTTCAGCAGATGCAGGCATCTTTCCTTTCCAGAAGGACCTGAGGCGGAAAGGGTAGTCCTTGAGGAATGTAGGGCGATGCTTCAGAGGGCCTTGGGGTTAGGGTAGGATGTAGGATCCTAACAGCACAGACTGCAGATTTTAAGGGGTTTCGGGTTAGGCTAGGACGTAAGGTCCTAACAGCACAGACTGCAGATTTTAAGGGGTTCAGGGTCAGGGTAGGACGCAGGGTCCCAACAGTGCATAGCTAGATCCCTCACCTCAGTTTGCCCAGGCACTGTTGAGCTGCCGCAACAGAAGGTAGTTCCCGAAGAAGTGGATTTTCGGTTTGACTCCCTTTTAGTCGGAAGATTCTTACACGTTGTCACGGGGGTATTAACGGAGCGGGATCTAAGGGGACATATGTCAGGCGTTTGGCGTTCCCTTCTCCCCCCGCCCCCTGTTTGCTATTGCGGTGCAGGGGGGAGGGCTGGCGTGTGCGGAAAGGGGTCGGGGCCGTTGGAGCTGCCTCTGGATGGTGGGGTGGTGCTGGCGGCCATCGCTCACACGCAAGCCCTTCGCAAGCAAGCCGTAAACCGTATAATGCAGCGCGTGCCCCTGTTTTGAGTAACCTTACCTTGTACTTAAAACACTACACCCAACCCTAAACCCCACCTAACTGCAGGCTCTAAGCCTAACGCAGAACATACACCGCAAATCTTCCCTAAACCCTTGTCGACTCGACGCCTTACACCCTGCAACCGTAAACCCAAAACCCTAAGCCCCACAACCACCCCACAGGGGGAAGAAGGACCCCAACACCACACCACAGGGGAGGCGGGCCCCCCTATATCCGGACCATTGACCTTTGTGGGGGGAGGCGGGGGCCCGCGGAGCGCGCGACCCCTTATAACCGAGCTATTCCCCAGGTCCCCCTGGTATTTTTTACGGTTTTCTAGGTTCCCAGTACCCTCCCCACCAAAATTACCCTCCCTTAAGGATCCTATTCTTAGAATCCGAATGCGAGCCACTAGAATACCGTCAGGGTCCAGTAACGACTTTGGCTTCAGGGCCAGAGCGATCGTATGTTGCCATTAGGGTGCAGTGACTTGGTGTTTCAGAATTAGTGGTTTAAGTTTTAGGGTTTCAGGTTTCAGGGCTTAGGGTTCATGGTTTAGGCTTAGTCCTTAGCCGCAATTACTTCGGTTAAGCCCTAACCCCAAGGCCTATAGCCCCAAACACTCTGAACTCAATATCACTGGATCGCGGGGCCGCTATTTCTAAGCCATAGAAATTTTTGGAGTTTAACTAATGATCCAGCAGTGAGGATCCAAGATGAAGTTCCATCTTCGGAGTTGTTGAGGGTTTCGGCAGAAACCCCAAACACTATACTTAGATCAAGTGTAGATTTTCGAGGCTACGGTTTGTTTTTTTTGTTGGGCTTAGGGTTCAGCGTTCCAGGGTTTAGAGCTTATAAGGGTTTAGGCTTAGAGTCTACATGTAGGTTTAAGGTATTTTAAGTGTTGATGATGTTGGGGATTTACAGGACTCGGGGTATTAGTAACAATGGAGTAGTGTGTAGGAGTTGGGGAGCCTGCGAGCCTCTGTCTAATTTGATGCGGTAGGTCATCTAGAGGATTGTACATGGGCCCCAAGGCTCACACAAAACCAAACCCGAACCCATCAATCTCCCAAAAAGGACACAATGATTATCGCACTTCCCGCACGATGCAGTGTCTCACACTCAAAGGCCTCATGCCTTTTTCAATCGCGCTTGAGCCAATACATGGCATCCCACGCACCTCGGTTTGTGCGTGTCATCCTTCGCAAGGGCCATGCACACTCCTTAGTCGTGCGTGTCATCCTGAGCAGGGGTCATGCGCACACTCCTCCTCGACTTGCGAAGAGAATCTACAAAAGTCGCGACCCCGCAGCATGACCCTGCAACTGGAGATCTGAGCGGGCTGGACTATTCCTTCGGCCCCACTCCAGAAAGCAAAATCAAAACTCATGTCCAGCACTCGGCTGGCTTATCCTGTGATCTTTGGCATGGACGCAACGCCCACACGATGTCTCAACTGCATGAGGCGTGTTTTTGGAAGTATCTTCGTGAGCATGTCTGCAATGAGATGTTCTCCTGGAGTGTGCAACACCTGCACATCTTCAAGATGGATCTGATCGCGCATCCAGCTGCACCTCAAAGCGAAAGCTCTAGTCCTCCACTTGCCAAAATGCATGCGATCCTGAGTTGCAAGAATGATTGAAGCACTGTTATCTCCTGTCAGCGTCCTCGTCACAGGCTTATGAAGAAGATCCTGCAGCACATACGTAAGACGAATCCCCTGGGACAAGGTCTCAGCCAGTGCATCCGTTTCTGCTTCACAAACTGACCAAGCAGTGACTGTCTGTCGACAGGAGAACCAATGTATCACACTGCCTGCATAACACAACACGCCACCTGTCCGGCTTCGAGAGCCCTCAGGGGCGAACGATGCATCTGAAATGAAAGTCATCTCACCCGGATTCCCATCCGGTCCATACTGCAAGCACTCATCAAGGGTCCCTCGCACATAGCGCCACAAACCCACACAGAACTTACAGATCGCCTCTGGTCGGCGATGCATAACACTCGCTCCCATTGACACAGCAGCAAGGACATCGGGTCTACTCCGAATTCCAATCCACATCAGAGCTCCAATTTCTGACCGTGCATTGGCCAGATTCTTGGCATGATGCTCGTCAAGTGCTTCATCCTCGGCCATCTCCAGCTGAGGAAGTGACTGCGAACCCTTCATATGAACCCAGCCTCTGCGATTCAGCTCTTGAAGAATCCAGCGGCGCTGCTGGATAACGATCTTATCCCCCTCGAAGGAAATTTCTACTCCCAAGAAGTTCAGCGCTTGCTTCTGTGCCACTTGTTCATCGTTGCATTTCACTTGCACGTCCGTTTGTCTCGCGATGAAACCCTGGATTTTCGTTCGCCACTCTGCGCTCACAAACTGCAAGAACGCTTCCACTGCAGATCGTTCGCCCGTTACCAAGCAATCATCTACATACATGGCTACTAATCCCACTAGAGTGTCACCACATAGCAGCTTCCACAGACCGTCCTGGTGCGCGATAGGCACGCAGTGGATCTGCCTTCCTTGATCATCGGTCAAAACCTTACCGGAAATCTTGCCGTCTCGATCCCGGCTCCAGTCCAAAGGGGACCGTCGCAACCCGTAGATTGCTCTGATTGGGACGTACTGAACATCTTCCGCAATCAAACCCAGTCGTTTAAGGACTGCCGGCGGCTCAAGAATGACCAAATCTTTACCACCCAAGAAGGTGTTTAAAAATGCTGCGCTGATGTCACCTGCTCCCATGATCCACGATGGCCTTAGAGCAGTTTCCTTAGCCATGGTCCTCAAGACAGACATGTCCACATTCTGCGTGCTCAAGTCCTCTTTGTCCTGGGAATCATGTTGGAAATTTCCGCATGCTACGATCCTCACTTTCGGCTCGTCGATTGGTCCAGAGCTTTCATTCAAAGGCTTCAAGGTGTTGACAAGTTGCATCGGTAGGGCCTTAGGAAGCTTCACGCTTCTGTCTAGACCCAAATCCTCATGGATATGGCCCTTTCGAACCTCAATCCAAACCTTCTGATGCACCGTCATGTTGTCGAGCTCCTTACGTGCCGCTCCAATCCAATCCTCGCGACGTGGGCCGAAGAAAACATCGTTTCCACATGGTTCCGCGCTTGCCTTAAAGCTCTTGAGCTCCTGGGCTAGACGCTCTTGCTCAACCATCTCTGCTTCTTCATCAAATCCAGGAACCTGATATCCACATGGCTCTGGCGTCACCTTATCCAGCTTCTCAAGATAGCATGCCTTGGAAGATTTCCCACAAACGGTGCAGGTCTTTCCCTCAAGCCACTCAAGATTCTTATCCCTGGACTTGGTGACCTCAGCATCCTTAGCTGAACTCTCCACAGCCTTGTTGCATGCTGCTTCACACTTCGCCGCCTGGAAGAAATCTGCTTCCTTCGCCTCTTCAGGGCCGTATTCGCGCTCCTCGACGGTTAGCAAACCAAGATCGTGACCTAAATCTCTGATGTACTCACCGTCTCGCACGTCGCCCTTCGAAGAGATCCAAACAAGATCACCCAGCGGTGTGGTATGTGTTCTCCAAGTTGCGCTCTGTGTGTCCAGAGTTGTTGGAAGCCTTGCTGTCACGACCTTCTGTTGCCCGTTCCTTTCAACCAGCACTAATGCACCGCGTGATACATCATCGCACTGCGCCAAGAAAGTTGCAGGCTCAGCTCTCGGATCAAACGGTCCAGGATTAATGACCCGAATGGCCACCTTCTGACCTGGATCAGGACGTTGGCCTTGAGTCCTGACTCCCAGCACTCCATCACGATGCCTACGCGCAGCTTCGTGCATCATCAACGGCCAATATGCCACATGAAGCCGTCCTTTGATCAGAAAACCTCTGGCCTTCTCCTTGAGCATGCCAATGCACCTTTCTGCTAAGCCGTTTGCTTGAGGGTCATACCCGCAGGTTGTTGTTTTGAACACGCCCATTTTGTTGATGCCTTCCACCAGCTGCTTTGCAATAAACTCTCGCGCTCGATCTGAGTGTATTCTCACTACCTCTGGCTTGCCGCCACTTGTAGCTGCAATCTGTGAAAGAATACTTTGAAGCTGCTCGTACACTAGCTGCCAATGTCGGTGTCGGAGAGGCCTTGTATACTGCAAGTTGCATCCATCAGCTAGACGAAGCACTGCAACCAACATGTATCTTGCGCCATCATAGCCCTCACGGTAAGGACCAGCAAGATCAATGGACATCACTCCCGTTGCAACCTGCTCTGCACTCAAACGAAGGTGTGGTCGTCGGAGTCCTCGAGTTCTCAAATCATCTATTGTCCTTCCAGGCTTCGGCTTAGGAATCGCATCAGGTGGCAAAGACTCTGGACCTTGGTCAACAGGCTTCTCCTCCTCAGGAAGTGAAGGCTCATACACATCCAAATTATCTTCGCAATCAGGTCGCTGCTCATCGGCTCTTTGCTTCGTTGGGTGCACGAGCTCAGGAAACAAGTCTTCTGACAGCTCTCCATCGCTCACTTCTACGACTTCACCGAAATAAGGTAAACCCTGAAAGCAATCCTGAACACCCTGGTCATCGCCTAAGCTTCCCTGAACTCCCTGAACACCCTGAACTCCCAAGGCATTCTCCAGCGGCTCCGGCGCGCCTTCTGCTGGCGCGCATGTGCTACCCTGCTGTTGTTGTTGTTGATGCTGCTGCTGCAGAACCGTGTTGATCTCTACACGTCGTGTTCCGTCGTCGTCGTGTCTATCATGGATTGGAAAGCCTAAACCCTCCAAATGAGCACGCATGCGCTCTGAGGTCTGCTGTCCAGCTGCCGGCGTGAACGCCGTCACCACAATTCTGTGCCCTCGGAAAGGCTCTGTGCCATGCATTTGAAACGGGTCGAACTCAGCAATCGTACGGCTTGTGCTCAACAAACGACCCTTCGCAGGAGGCTTGTCATCATGCGTCTTTCGCCACACTGCCTTGGACCGCTCAAGTTTTGGATCAGCTACCCAGACCTCTCCGCCATCGTATGCCGTGAGACCTAACACATAATTCTGTGAGCCAGGCATGTTTCGACTGTCTTTGTGAGGCCGAAAAGCAGTGTTTTCCATGATCATGAATGAAGTGTATCTAGCCTCAGGGTGAACAGTCCTAATCAAGCGATTCACTCTCTGCACAAGCTGCACATGCTGCTTTGTAAGGCGCGTGGTTCCACACATTCCACCTCGGCCAAACAAACCAAAAGCCCATGCATGACCTTGGGATTCTGGCTTCGTAACGTTTGGCCTGTGACTGCCCTTTACGCGCAACTTAGCCCTATGAAGCTCATCCAAGACCGCATCAAACTGGCTCTCTTTTGATTCGTCATGGTCTGTTGCTGGCTCCACAGCAACCAAGCTTGCTTCACAGCACTCTAGATCATCTGCCACATGCGCCATGACTTCTTCAATGTCAAGAATGCTTGAGGCTTCGGGACACATGGGAACCGTCACACTGCAAACCTTGCGATTGCACTGCTTGTACTGCTGAGTCAAGTATCTTCGAACCTCAACGAAGTCCTCCCACCGGACATAAGGCAAACCGTTCATGACGATTAGATTGATGGTTCTAATCTCACCCGGGAAGCTCATCCAAGACCGCATCAAACTGGCTCTCTTTTGATTCGTCATGGTCTGTTGCTGGCTCCACAGCAACCAAGCTTGCTTCACAGCACTCTAGATCATCTGCCACATGCGCCATGACTTCTTCAATGTCAAGAATGCTTGAGGCTTCGGGACACATGGGAACCGTCACACTGCAAACCTTGCGATTGCACTGCTTGTACTGCTGAGTCAAGTATCTTCGAACCTCAACGAAGTCCTCCACCGGACATAAGGCAAACCGTTCATGACGATTAGATTGATGGTTCTAATCTCACCCGGGAAATCATCATCGGTCTGAAGGTAGGGACCTCGGGCTCGGCTCCACACGAACTTGTATCCTAACGAGACCAAACGACTCAGACCACAGATCCATGTGGCGCCAGGAATCACCAACTCCCCTTCCCGGCTTCTAAACGCTTTGATTCTCATGCCATCGGCCAATTGCAATGATGTTTCACACCCCCTCCGCGGGGGCTCGCCTGGTCGCAACACTTCGTTCGCTCCGGAGTCTACCAGGACGAAATCGTGATCTGCATGCAGGCCGGGCGTTGCCTTATTAGCCTGGCCGTATCCACCCTTGGGAACCACCGGGGGACTCTTCCTCACAGCTTTAGCTTTTGGAGGCGGAGCGGCTGGCACTGGTGCAACCTGAGGTGGGGCTCTTACGGTAGGCTGTTTACTGCTCGGCTCACCTGCTCTACTCTGATCCCATGGACATGGCTTTGGACACGCAGTTGATGACTGTGCTGAATCACCGGATGCCTTCACAGGAGGTGATGCGATGATTGTCGGCACTACTGGGGGTCTTTTCACTAGTGAGGCCTTTGGACTTGATTTTGGAGGTGCAGCTTCTGACTTCACCACTGGTGGCATCGGAAATCCTGGTCTAAACCCGGACTCAACCATTCCAATGTACAGCTCATTACCGTCCTCTAAATCCAAAAGCCAAGCAACAAATCCCGGTCGCACAATACCATCGCTACACATGATCATCACAGCATGTGCCTCCGCAATCATTTGCGTTTCTCCAATCTCGAGATCATAAGCTGGAAGCGTCTCTACACGATTCAAGAAATAAGATACACCGACCGCTACATCGAAAGGGTTCGTGACTCCGACGAAATCCCGTCGTGCCCCAGTCTGCACGTGGCCACTTGTCCACCGCACAAACTCACCAGGATCTAAGTGCACTCTCCACAACGGTAGTCTCTCCAGACGCTCCTCACGAGCCTCACGAACCGCTTGGGCTAGATCATCCACCAGAGGATCCAACTCACTTTCTGAACCCTCGTCCTGAATGGTTGACTCAGGGGATGGTGTCGATGCTGAAGATGACAATGATTCCAATGACAAAGCCTCAGACTCCTCCTGCGATCCGTCAGCCTCTGAGTCCTCACGAAGCCTACGTGCCATGAATGCTGATGCGACTGCCGATGCCTTAGCTTTCGCCTTGGCCTTTCCCTTCGCAGCAGCTGCTGCCGAGTCTGTACCCAGCAAACCTGGCACCTCGGTGTCTGCCTTAGCAGCACGACTTGCCTCCGCCCGATACTTTTCATCATGGCTGTAATTGCACTGCTTCCGATAACATCCTTTCGGACCGAAAAAGAATCTGCATGGCTTGTCAATCTTCTTCGGGGTCTTATTGGCATCTGCAGGATCAGGATTTCCAGACTTACGATCTTGAGCATGGGAGCTGGACCCGGGTTGCACGTTGGTTTTTCCGTGCTTCCCTTTTGCTTCCTTTTCCTTGCCCTTACCCTTATCCTTTCCTTTCTCCTTGCCTTTGCCTTTGTTTGCGTAGCTCTCACTTGGGCCTCCCTCCTGCTTGTTCTGCTTGGTGTGTTCGTCAGCTGCTGTTTGCCGGAGTTCGTGCTCCAAAGTGTCCAACATCATGTTGACTCCCGCCTCCGTCGGGAATTGGATCTGCGGCGCCAAACGCAAAATGCCAAGACGGGTCTTCAAAGCATCTTGCTTACGTTCCAGGACACGCGTCAATGATGCCAGCGATTTCAGGGCCTCACTCGGCGCTGTAGCCGGTAACCCCAAAGCAGCTGCACGGGTCCGAGCCATCTTCCATCGTCGCAAAACCTCCAACGCTTCTCGAGCTGTGCTCACCGGCTGAAGATTCCTGACATAAGTCAAAAGGCTCGAGACCTCCTCTCGGCCACCAGGTTGTACGATCGTGATAAGTTCTTCAAGGAGGGCCAATGAAGAGATTTGATTCTCATCTGACTCCATGGCTGCGGACTTCATCTCCTGTGGGAGGACCCGCAACAAAGCCACTACCAGCCTGGATTCAAAGTCTCGCATCTGATGTGGAACGGCTGGGAAAGGCTGCCGTGTACCGCCAGCCATCCTCGCCTCATGCCGCGCATGGGCCGCAATGAACTGGGTCTCCACGTACTGCTTGAAAGAGTCGGCAACAGTCGCGCTTACCGCTAGAAATTGCCTTTTCCAAGTGACATAGGCCATTGCAGTCTCCCAGGGTTGACCTACCACCGGCTGATAGCTCGGCAGATCATTCAATGTTTTCCACCTTCCATTTGGGATCTCACCAGTCACATTCCCCTGCCCAGGATCCGCAGCGTTGTCTGCGACCACATTTGGAGCTCGGAGGTACGCTGGCAAACCAGGAGGATCACTAATTCCCCAGACATTCTGCGTTGGCCTTCCAATGGATACATTCGCACTATGCTCTGTTGATGAAAACTCGAAAGGTTGCTGCCACCACATAGCGGTAGCATCTGGTTCCTGTTCATCTGCAGGCTCTTGATTTCCCCACGTAGGAGTGTCCTGCAAATTCGGTGTCAAGTCAAATCGCTGGGGCATTCCGCCCACATGCGCTTCAGACTCACAAGGACGTTGATCATCCTCACAATCCGCATTTTCCCACTCTTCCATGCTTGTCTCCAGTGCCGTTACCCGTTCGTCAAGCTGGTCTACAGCCGCATTCAGGTCCTTCAAAGATCCAGCCTCTGCATCGTGAGCGTCCCCACGAGCAATCTGTGCCAGCTCTTGATCCACCCTCTCGGCCAACATGCGAACTTGGACTGCCAAATCACCCTCGGCAGCACCAGCATCGCCCTCTTGAGACCCTGTAGCCTGCGAACTTACAGCTGCTGAAATGTAAGTTTCATGAATGCTTAGCCGGCCCTTGTGTTCGTTCACACTCGCACTCATACTGGACAGCATGGTTTCCATCTCATTCAGACGTCCAGCCATGGATTCCACCTTGGCCAATAGCAGGGCTTCGCGCTGCTTCGCCTGATCTATCACGACAAGCTGTTGATTGATTACCGCCTGGTTGTCTTCCAAACGATCTCTCATTGCAGCCATCTCCCTGGTCCATGTCGAGGCTTGCTCCTCAATCACGGTCTGCTGGGCCCTCAAAATCCGCTTGAATTCTTCCAACTGATTTTCAACAGTAACGCACCCTTCAAAGACCTGACGGTGACCTGAGTCCAAGGATTGCACAGCTTGGCCTAGGATTCCTGTACGATGGTTAAGTCGATCGCTGATTTCCTGCATCGCTGCTCGGATATCTTCGATGGCTCCAAGATCAAAAGACACGTTCTCCTGAAGTTGTCGAAGCAAGTCGGCAGGGAAAGCAATCTGCGTCATTGACCTAAACATCACAGTGTCAGTCGCGTCGTCTCGCGCTGAGGCATCTGCTGCTGCTGCTGCTTGTATGCCGTGCATAGGTTGAGGAGTATCTAGGGGGTTTGGGCTCATCACCTGTTGATGATGTTGGGGATTTACAGGACTCGGGTATTAGTAACAATGGAGTAGTGTGTAGGAGTTGGGGAGCCTGCGAGCCTCTGTCTAATTTGATGCGGTAGGTCATCTAGAGGATTGTACATGGGCCCCAAGGCTCACACAAAACCAAACCCGAACCCATCAATCTCCCAAAAAGGACACAATGATTATCGCACTTCCCGCACGATGCAGTGTCTCACACTCAAAGGCCTCATGCCTTTTTCAATCGCGCTTGAGCCAATACATGGCATCCCACGCACCTCGGTTTGTGCGTGTCATCCTTCGCAAGGGCCATGCACACTCCTTAGTCGTGCGTGTCATCCTGAGCAGGGGTCATGCGCACATTAAGGTGATGGCACTGAAGGATTAGTATGCAAGGGTTAAGATTCCGGGCTTTGTGTCGGTTTAAGCTTTTGAGCATAGGGCTAAGACTCAGAACTTCTGCGTTTAATTTTTGCTTTCGGGGTGTCCGTGACGCCGCAGAGCAGTTTGCAAACCCTCCTCTCGAAAAGCTAATCGCTTCACCCTTCACCCCTACTACTCCTCGAGCTTCGCATGCCATCAACCAAAAAGCCCTCCGCCCACGACTCAAAGATCCGAAGCTTAGACCTTGAAGCCTTAAGCCCGAAGACCCTCAGCCCCAATACAGCTACAACCCCGAGCCTTACATCCTAGAACTAGAAAGAGCTGGCGCAGCATTGGCCCTAAACCCTCAACCCCTCAGCCCTAAACCTTAAACCCTAAACCGATGGAGGCAAGGATGAGTCGCGGCTGCCTTTGCTTTGCAGCCAGCATCGGCAATGCAGAAATGTGGACTCTGGCTCCCTGGACCTTGACCACTAAAGCCCGAAAGAAGGCAGCAAAGATACATCCAACGAGCCCGCAGCCATCCTCCCAGATATTTATTTCAGCTGAGGTTCTATGGTTTAGGCTTACGGTTTCAAACTAAATAGCTTACGTTGAAGAGGTGCAGAGGTTCGGTGTTTGGGGTTCAGCGTAAACCGTGTTTTCCCCAAATCCTCAACCCTGAAGCCTGGATCCGTCTTCTTGACAGGGCCGGTACAGAGGGGACACGTTTCAAGGATCCTCTGAACAGATAGCATCGATGTTTCAAGTGGACTTTCCGTGTCTGGCAAGGGTGCTCTGCGGAATAAGAGCCTGAAGTTTGCAAAGTTCAGGGTTTACAGTTTAGAGATAGAACATATATGCCTGCTTCGTCCGAAGAGCGCACACACACACACACACACACCATCGTGAACCGTATACCTGTGTGCCTTTACAAAGGATCCGAAAGTACTGGACAGCGGAAGCTTCGGTTCAATACTCCACCAGAGCCTGTGTGCTCGAGCCCCATGTCTTCAGAAGCTTGGGGATGATGTTGTAGCCTGAACCATAAACAGTAAACCATGAACCGTAAACTCTAAACCGGAAGCCTTGATTCTGAAACCCCAAACCCGAATCATTGAAATCTAAATGAAAGTTCAACCTCAAGGATTCAACCTCGCGTCCTAAACCGAAGAGCGTGCGGTGGCCATGCCTATATGGGCGGTTGTCAAAATGAGGGTCCCTTTTTGGGTACCCTAAATAATAGGTGCCGTAATATAATAATGAGCCAAAAAGGGACCCTAATTTTGACAACCACCCATATGAGGGGATATCATGTTCAAACCTCGGTACTGTGCCCAACTGTTTGCATTAAGGGCGAACCTGCCCATATGGTATGTAGCTCGGCCATACTACAGGTGTTCTAACACATAGATAGTAGGGTCGAGGTAAGTACTAGTTGGCTGCCTGGACATTTGCGTTTAGGCAGGGTTCACATGCCCTGCTTGTCAGCGTCGCATCACCGCAACAAGACGGAAGCAAATCATGAACCTTGCCGGAACAGCACAAACGAAAAGGCACTGCTTGCGCCCCGGTTGAAGATTCATAGAATCACCGCGAGATAAGTGCGAACCTATCCAAGTATGCAGAATTTCAGAAACCCGGATGCCAGCCACATGTTTCGCCAGCGGGTGCGGCGGCTTGTCAAATATGGCTTGCCGCTTCCGGCCTGCATATGCCCGACAATCCGCGGCATCAGAGTTAGGATACTTGATTGATCTTGTTACCGCCAGTCTAGCGCGATTTTCGGGCAGGTGCTCATATTGATCGTTTTCGCACAAACAGGTGCCTCTGCATTTTCCAGGAACACAGGCCTCGCAGCCGCAGTCCTGCCAAACGTGCTGCCCTGCAGTAGGCCTGCATGATTTTTCCGTTTACTACTCAGAGTAAGCTGAGCTTTCAAGCCTGAGTTCATAGTTTTCTTCTTCGGGTAATTTATCGTAGTTTGCTCCTCAGAAACGGTATCTCAGGGCCGGGAGGCAGAGAGAGAGGGTGTCTGAGACAGAGGGAAAGGCAGAGACGGAGAGAGCGAGACACAGAGAGAGAGAGAGAGAGATTAGGCTCCTTATTATTATGGTTTCTATATATCTATATATATATATATATATATAGAGAGAGAGAGAGAGAGAGAGAGAGAGAGAGAGAGAGAGAGAGAGAGAGAGACAGAGAGGGACCGAGAAAAGCAGAGTTTCGGATTCATCGTCACAGAAAGCCCTGACGCCTCGGACCTTGATGCACAAAAGCTGCCCACAGCTCGGATCACCTGCGAAAGTTCGGGCAAGAAGTAATATTGGTTGGGGCCTAAGGAATTGCTAGTACCGTCTTGGGAGCTCCTTACTAATATGGTTATAGTATAATATACCCCCAAACCCTATTCGATTGATTAAGGCCCCTACATTAGTGCAGTAGTGAAACCCTACTTGGTCTAGAGCGTAGATTATGGAGTGTATGCTGCTCTCCTCCATTCACACTGGTGATTGCCTCTCTCTGTGTGTATGTGTGTACATGTATATATCAGTATATGTCTCTTCAATGTGGTTTTTCAGTTATACATACCTACAGAGAATATCCTTGCAACTTATGTGTTGACGAGCTGCTTACTTGGCAGGTTCTCTGTTATAATTACACAGTTGAGCGGCTACCTATTGAAGCAAGAAGCGTAAATGGCTCAGTCAAAAAATGCTCAAAAATAAGAAGTTTGCCCCTTTTACCTACTGCACGACCAGAGCTCGAAACCCCACGTTGTGGGATCGAGCTCAAGATCCTAAACGGGTGTCGCAGTTCTCTAATACCCAAGGGTCCATGTGCCCAGGTAGTTTAGTAGTCCCTTTTTGTTGGGTACTTTGGGGCCTATGTATATACTATTCGGGTACATGGACCCTGTGGGATACATGAAGCGTATGCTGTTCTGGAAGTTTAGTCCCCGGCTCTGTTGCGATAGTAGGGTGTCCTTGAGGGTGGTCACATGTTCGCAAGATACTCTCCCGCTGTTAGCCCAGGTACCTTGTCTTGACCACATATCCCTAGCATGAGAGCCGGCCGGGCCACTGCACATTGGGTTCAATATCGCACAGCAGCAGTGGTTTTGAAAAGGGTGGTTTGGGTGCAAGACTCCGAGACGTAACGGGATGACGCGAAAGCCGGCATGGAGTCTGATGCGCAGAGCCTTGAGCCTTGAGTCCCGTTGCGAGTTGATTCCATCATCCGTCTTACCTAGACCCTGAACCTGGTCACCTCGCCTTCTTATCCAGGATCCGAACCAAAAAGCCGGGTGTGACCACAAAACATATACCAAATCAGAGTTTCATCCGGTTTCGCCTCAGGGGCCTGGTACGTCGTTCCCCTAGACTCCTAGACTCCCAGAAGCCCAGGATGCCGACACTCCAAGGATGGAGAAACTAATGCTTTGGGGGATATGATTTGGGGTCTGGACTGCGTGTTCGTGTTTGAACTTCCCTGGGCCAAGGGGTTTTGGGACCTCGGTGGGTTTTACGGCGATAGATGCTAGATTCCACAGCTTCTGGGCTCACATCCCACTGATGTTTGTCAATTAGGCTCCCCAAACCGCAGATTTGGCTGCTGGCAGACACGTCAACGCTTTACAAGCGCACGAGCCTCACCCCGCACAGTGGCAACTGACGAGGGCCGTAAGGTCGTTTGAGCTAGTAGATTGCTAAGTGTTTTGCATGTGGAGGAGGGGTTGCGGAGGTTCTTCGGGAAGGCTCTTGAAGCTGGGGTTTGTTTTGGGGTAGGGCTACTGGTAGTACAGATCCTACTTTTCCACTGTCTTGTCCAGGGGCGCCCGATGTCTGAAACCCGTGCACTGACATGCACTATACCTTTGCAGTAAAGCAGAGAAGCCACAGGAAGTTTAGGGCGTTTAGGTTGCGTGTGAGTGTGGATGTAACAATTGAGAGCTACATGGGGTAAGCCTTCTGCATGCCATGCCACTTTTTCGTTGTTTAAAGCGTGTCTCTTGCACCGCGTGATTCCCAGTGTAGTTTCTGGTGCCATCGCTTTGTTGAGGGATCTCTGCTTGGTGAGCGTTTGAGGTGCCCATCACACCTGGGGTCTATTGCTCCGTCGTTGGGGTAGCAAGGGAACTTATACCGTAGCGGGCGGAATGAAGTATCCTGGCATAGTCTCCAACAAGTATACTGGCCTTGCAGCACGCCCCTGCACCCTGCTCATCATGATGAAGATCCGTTGATTAAATTTAGCGCGATAGATATCAACTTGTGATCGTTACTGTTACATACTATTTATGTTGTGTTCGTTCCTAATGTCATTACGATTACTAAATATGCTTATAGCATCACTACTACTATTGCTCTACATGTCGGTGACTATGACTACTACTCTTACCGTTAATCTCGCTATTATGACGATGATGATTAACTCTTTTTTCTATGCATTTTATCTATTATATCGTATGTTGTGTCAACTGTTGTGCAGAACGGTATTTGGGTCTTTTGCCGACC